GCTATCTTCATTCAAGCTGTCTTTTTCTTCCTCCAGAGAAACATTCTTAGCTGCGTTTTCTTCATCCAAGTCGTCTTCTTCTTTATCCGGAGAAACATTCTTGTCTGTGCTTTCTTCATCCAAGTCGTCTTCTTCTTTCTCCGGAGAAACAGTCTTGTCTGCGTTTTCTTCATCCAAGTTGTCTTCTTCTTCCTCCAGAGAAACAGTCTTGTCTGTGCTATCTTCATTCAAGTTGTCTTCTTCTTCCTTTCTTACTGTCTTTGCTGTCTTGCATAACGTATCGTCGTTTGTTTCTTGGTTATCGCACAGGTATTGACGTGCTAAGAAGTATTCGTCCTCATCCATCTCTACGGTAAACCCAACAGGTTCACCATTTGCTCGATTTTTTAAATCTTCTGTGATGATGGATTTTTGTAGATCTTTTGTCAATTGACCTGACTCATACCTAAAAGCAAGAAAAGCGGCAATAAGCAGAGAAAGACTAAACATGCACCTACTCCATCAAATGAACACAACGACACGCAAAAGACACGTTACCTTTTCCGTAATTCTTCCATTGCAAGCAGGTCTCGAGCACGAAGCTGCAATTTAATTGATCCAAACTCAACGCGAATAACCGAAATGCCACCAGGGAACGTGGACTCAACCAAGTTAGCAAGGACTTCTGGGTTATCTGTTAGCCTTTTTAGTGCGTAGATGGTTCCTCCGAGCCATGCACCGACGCTTGCCAACTTTATCATACAACGTAAACTGAACACTAGAAAAATGTTAAGTAAAAGTATTAGATTTGAAATTTTTAACAGTGATGAAAAGTACACTACACTGCATCAGTATCACTGTCATGGACTGCACTAGACTGCACTAAAGTACACTACACTGCATCAGTATCACTGTCATGGTCTATATTTTTGGCATTACTATTTCTCCTATTATTAAAGGGGCCAGAAATAAATCACAGTCGCTGAATATAATGGCGAAAGATATATAAAACATTCAGATCGTATTTGATATCAAATTTGAAGGGCAATTCAAAGTATAACGACAGCATTGACTGTTTATAGAATATAAAACCAGTTGTTGAATATAAAATAATCGTCAATGAATATTGCAACAATTTAGCACCATAGATATCATCTCACATGGAAGTAAAATTCAAGCTCCTGATATAAATAGCTATTTAAGCCTTTATTTTACGATAACGTACAAATTTCTCGCGCGCTGATTGGTAATTTTTTATCATCAATAAGACGACAGAAACATGAAAAACTGATGTCCATTTGTTAATTGGATAAGAACTTCGTGTTTGTACGAAGCCCTAAAATAAGCTACACGTAATGTCGTAAGCAGATGACGTAAGTAAACGTTTATTATCGATCTGCTAACATCTTAGTGAGTGAGTGACACATTTGTATATTTAGACCCCTCACGATTAACTCGTTCCTACGCTTCAAGTTAAAAATCAGGATTTAGACTGACCTTGAGTTGGTAATTGTTGTAAATAGTTACAAAAGCTTGAACCCTCCTGATCTTCATCAACATCTAACGGACGAATCAGTTGATCATCAATGGCCTTTTCCCATTCTTCCACTAAGGGCGACCCACTTGGTGAATAGTACCCTACAATCCGTAACAATGCATCTTTTATTTGTCTCCAGTAATCATGAAACTCCGGCTTTCGAATTTCCATGCTCTCGTTGATGTGAGAAATAAAATTTCTGTAGTAATGGATTCTTACAATGTCGGCCTCTAAAGATAAGTCCGCTTGATTTGGCAAGTTATTCCACCCCGTCTTCGGTGGACTAARTCTGCATATGTCTTTTTCTTTTAAAATCTTGGTAAGCAAGGTGATGTCAAAGGATTTGGGCTGACAAGAGCCTGAAGGAGGGTAAAGCAACTGCCACTCCTTATCAGATATTATTCCTCTTTTTCTCAAATGACGTAATCTTGCTAATACACGTGGCTTATTGAGCACTTCGGGCAATTCTAGTGGAAATATGCGATTTTTAAGTAACTTTCTCAGTATGGTTGTTCCTCCACTCACCAAAAGACAACACAGTTTCAAGTAATGAATTTTGYCTGGTGTCAGCCTCAACGAAACATCTGGAGATTGAGTTGATAGTACTGGTGGCATTGCTGCATCTGAAAATGGTAGTTTCTCAGGGCTCCCAGGTGGCCAGAACGATAATTATGACTTTGAATTGTTGAGAAATAAAGGTACCATTCACAGGACTAACATATATAACCTGAAAATAGGAATAAAAGGAGGAAAAGGTTTGTCACTAGTCAGTTTTTTTTTTTTTTTCCTTTTTGTGGCTACTGTCGCCTCGAAGAGGCGAGAAGCCACTAAGCTATCGTGTAGTGTCCGTGAGTAAGTCTTGTAAGTAAACTTACACAGGAACCCCAAGGAACAAAATCAACTTACTGTACGAACCAATCAGGATCCCCCGAGTGCTGATCCCCGTCAAAACGAAACAGTCAATACCTAGTCGGATCCTCTCGCGAACTACTCGAGAACATTACATAGACTTCGGAACCAATCGCGGCTGGAGAATGGCGATAGACAAATGTCGTCACTCGTTACGTCGTTTTGGCGAACTCGTGGATACTTGTTGCACTATTCGAAGATTGGTCTTCCTGTGCTCTCTTTATCTTGTTGACATTCTCAAAGGATTCCAAGTATTTCGCTCGATGTAATATTTTAAATACTCAATTTTGCTAGTAAGATGAGTAATCGTCCTTTTTATTTTCCTTTTAACACCTAGTTCCTTGTTATTTTGTTGAGTTTGGAAGCGAATTCTGTGATGAAGTCAGTGTCTGAACTTCAATTAATACTCGGCGAAAACGCTTTCTCTGTTTTTAATTTCAAAGGCAGGCTGTGTGTTTTATTCCAGGAATCATTCGATCTACGAGCTCAAAACTGAATATACAAGATAATCGGCCGTTTATGATACAATCGTGACGATCAAAATAAAGCGTTGCGTTATGCGTGTTGATTTACATTACTACTTATCTTGACCTTCAAGGGTCACACGGACACTATTTATTTACACCGTGAACTAAGCAAATATTTTATAGCAATTCGTTTAGAAATGCTATTTATKTTGTCTTCAYCCGAGTCTGCAAATTAATGATTATTTATTGGAGCTAATTCTCGTTAGACCTTCGCACATTTCAACATACAATCTGAGCATTGCTTCGGCTATTTGTAATCTTGTAATGTGTGGCGATCAATCTACTTTTTATTCAGAACGGCTTATTTAAATGACAAAACTGGCCGAACTTCCTTCAAAACTCCATTGGAATTGGTCTTACTTAATTCTAATCTCAAATAAGTCGAAGTCGTCTTTCGTATTAATTGAAGTTCAGACAATTAATTCATCACAGAATTCGCTTCAAACTCAACAAAATAACAAGGAACTAGGTGTTAAAAGGAAAATAAAAAGGACGATTACTCATCTTACTAGCTAAATTGAGCATTTAAAATATTCAATCGAGCGAAATACTTGGAATCCTTTGAATGTCAACAAACATAAGGAGGGCACAGGAAGACCAATCTTCGAAAAGTGCAACAAGTATCCACGAGTTCGCCAAAGGGCGGTTTGATTTGTGTTAAATTCTTTAGAATCGCGACAAAACTAATTACAATTTTGAGACGACAATACCRCGAAATATTGAGTCCGCCCAATACCGAATATATTTTCTCCCAACTAGCCGTCATTATTTCGTGGCTCTAGCTCTTATCGTAGATGAGCACGCCACCCCAACAAACCAGCGGTATCGTGATGAACGTAGCATCAAAACGAAACTATCGGGTCGAGCTTCGGATAATTTGCTAAGAAATTTACTACAAATCTTCGAGAGATGACTACATTTTGATGGATATCTATGATATACAAAGAATTTCGTAGACTTTCCAACTATGGTCAAACACTATATAGCTTTTGGATGTATGAACAAAGTTTTGAAGGCAGAAGGCAAGGAATTCGATCGGCATTTGCCATCGAACAAAGTTCGCCGCAGTTCAAATTTGCCGCAGAAAAGCCACTGAGAAAGAATACTCCAAGTAACACAATTTCTTACATTTGTAGCAATAATTTCAAAGCTAAATGCCTTTTTAAACCACATGGAGGATAGGGGGATTTGTTTGAAGCCAGTATCTATATCACAAAGTTCGCTTTTATCTTAAAAAGCCACTGAGATAGAAACGGAGTGACCGTTCGCGTACGGCATAATAAACGTAAACATATTGTTAAGCCTTTGATTACGGCAGTCGACTTTTGGTAATTTAAAAAACTTGAATCGAACTATCCTATGTTTGTTAAGAAATAATAAGTGATACAGAAGAGCTTTACTAAGTCATACTCCATGAAAGTTTGGGTAATGTTTATGGTCTTTTATGCTGGTCACGAAGTTCTCGTTTTGAAGCCGTGTCTCAGTATAGTCTGCTTGTCGATCGTGATCATCGAGTTATTCGGTGCTTATTTCATAGCCGTAAGTTTATAAGTTTATAAAAGCTATTCGCTGTTCGCTTTCTATTTCTGAACGAAGATAGGATAGTTAAGATTCGAACAACTCTTTTTAACATACTTCAGAACTACAGAACGAAATTGACTACCGTACGAATAGACTATTAGAACCCTCGTATGCAGTGTTTTACTGAGAGCCTCCTCGCACAGTGTGGACAGTATAAAAAAAAATTGGACTGCAAAGATCTCGCCTTCAAATCAATTATCTGTCATCCCAGTGGCTTAATAAAGCATTCATGTTCAAAATGCTCAGTTCTCCCTACGTATTTTGACCGATGAGGCATACACTTTTTACAGTTATCAATGGTAGTAAAGCCACGATAATTCCTTGCTTTCTGCCTTCAAACTATAAGCCTTTTTATAGTTTAAGAATCGATTCCACTGCGCATGCGATTTTATCCCGAATTTCTACTTTCTTTTGTCTAAACCTTCTTTTGTTCTTAATTAAACAAAAGAAGGTGAGAAATTCGGGATAAAATCGCATGCGCAGTGGAATGGATTCTTAAACTATGAAAAGGCTTATTGTTCATACATCCAAAAGATATATAGTGTTTGACCATAGTTAGATAGCCTACAAAATACTTTGTATATGAAAGATATCTATCAAAATGTAGTCATCTCTCGAAGATTTGTAGTAAATTTCTTAGCACAATTTCGGCACACCCCTACCCAAGTTGGGGTGGTAGTAACCCCCCCCGGCCGAAAATGTTACTGATGCTGAAAATACTATTAATGCCGAGGGAGATCGTGTTACCCAATGTCTAGGCTCGGCAGTGGTTCGTACACTAGCATTGGTGCTGCATCTGTCATCGCTGTATAAACACGCTGCCACCCCACCTTTCAACAAAATAATTGGATTAAGCGAGCAGACGAGAGAACAATGGCAAGCAGGCTAGTAGCCTACCCCGGGGCTCTATATGGAACTTAAGGTGAATTTGATTAACCATATTAACTCTGGATGGTTGAATATTACTGACGTAAGGAGCATCGCGCGCTCGCGTTGTTGTTGGTACAGTACAAACAGAGTCAAGTACGGAGCGGCCGTTAAAGAAGTAACGCTTATAGGCTATTCAAACCGTTTGACCTTTGGAATGAAAACGTCTAGATTACAACAGCTAACGAAGGAACACGGACACAAGATAAGTCAAACAAGTATAACGTTAATTTAATTCAAATAATCGAAAGGGAAAAAAAAAACTATAGAAATCCAACCACATTCGATGTCCTAGTGCCCTTGGTTGGTAGCATCTGGTTCTAACTCTTCAGGATTGACAAAGAGAGCGTCCAAAGGAATTTCCACCATTTGGAAAGGTATCAAAGCTTTAATAAAAGTTTACTGAGTTCATTCTTTTCACGATAACGCGTTAAAACATCAAATAAATTTCAGGTAATCGAACGAGAAATGTATGGTCAACGCGACGCTAACTTGAATGGGTTGCATGTATGACGTCACAAAGAGAAACCGCTGTACATAATAACTCTTTGGCCGTGAGACAAGCAAATTAATGGCGGACGAAAATTAACCATAAAATTTTGGCACTTTTCTTTCGACTATCAGAAAGATATTTCAGTGAATAATTATTAATGTATCAAGGATTATTTCAGCAAAGTTTCAGCTCAAATGAAAGAGTTTTAATTTTGGAGCGATTTTCGTCCAAGTAGCACTTTAACTCCTCTACGGGCGATAGAAGGAAAGGAGACTCTGCAGAAATTGTGTAGAATGTTATTTGAGCATGCGCTGCGGTTTCTAAGAAACTAACTCGTTCACAAGCTCACACGTTTTATAAATGGTTTCCGGTTCAGGTCCGAACGTGATTGCCGCTTCAAAACAAAACATGTTTTTAGAGTCATGACCTCAGTGAAAGATGATCTCGTGTTATTCTTTTACTGCTTTAATTTCATCAAGCTTAGCAGATACTAAATTTTCACACGCGGAAATTTGGGCGCTCATCAGTGCCTGGAGCGGAGTTATTACCACCAAAAGAGGATTCTTAGGGTATCGACTAGTGTTTGGATCGATTTCTTGAAGATGTTTGATCACCGGAGTTACAAGCTGGAAAATAAGTGACTTTCCTTGACCTGTCGGCGGCGAAACCAACGTGTCTTTGACATCCATAAAACTTTCTAGAGATTTCCTTTGATGAATAGTTGGTTGGAATATTGATTTTTATTTGATAAAACGTGATTTAGAGCGCTTTCGAAACTACACTTTGACATACGACGCGGGCTAAATTTTACCCTGGTCCCAGAGACTCGAGGATTTTTCTCCACGTATATTTCGAGCCGCGAAGCTGCGAGCGATGTGCGAAGCAAAAAAAAAAAAAAAACGTCGAGCCACTGGGACCAGGGTAGCTAAATTTTGGTCATCGGCCATATTTTTGATAAAGACTCGCGCATCAAAACCAGTTTAAACCAGTATGAAACCTGACATTACGCATCTCATTATCCAGATTCTTGGATAACGGCACTACAAAAGAAATACACGATTTCTGCAGAGTCTCCTTTCCTTCTCTCGCCCGTAGAGGAGTTAAAAGGAGACTCTAATCGAAGGGTATTACTCTAGTAAACGCCCGTGCCCTTGTCATGCCTCAAAGAATTTCTCTGTTTTGTCTAATCAATCGCTAACTATCTCCTATTTCATCCTAACTATTTCACGGGTATATTATTTGCAATCAATGTATCACGAAGGTTAGCTGTTTAGCTATTTGCTTACCTCTGAGTATATTCACAGCCTTTCAACGACGCTTAGAGAGGAAGAACTGTAGATATAGTTGTGTCAGTTAAGAAACGCTCGCGAAGCAACTTTCTAATAATGCCTGCCAAGTATCAGGGTGTTCCCCCGTGATACGCATGCTCATAGTCTTTCCGTAAATAAAAATACTTGTTCCAAACCGGTTGAACCAGGTTGAACCGGTATGATTATCAAGCCTGCCTTTACCTAACATCTTAGTGAGTTAAGAACGAGGTCGTCTGCTTTATGAGGCCGGTAAGTCGTGAGTCGTGAGTCGTGAGTCGTGAGTCGTGAGTCGTGAGTCGTGAGTCGTGAGTCGTGA